ACACTCTTCATCCATGCAGTCTACACTCTTCATCCATGCAGTCCACACTCTTCATCCATGCAGTTTACACTCTTCATCCATGCAGTCCACACTCCTCGTCCATGCAGTCCACACTCCTCCTCCATGCAGTCCACACTCCTCGTCCATGCAGTAGACAGCCATGTCACCCCTCACGACCATCGCCGGAACTCGAGCGGCGTAGCGTCTCGACGTGCTTCGCGGCAGACTCGCCCTGGTGCGCACCCCGCGTCGTCATGCCCAGGACCTGGCCAACCAGCCCCCCCGGCTTGGGAATCGGACACTCGCGCTTCGGATTCAGGCGCTGCTCCATCGTCTTCCTCCCCTCGTCGCCCAGTGCGTCACTCTCGTCCTGGCTCTCTGCGGGCCGCCGTCTCCGGCGTCGCCGTGTGGGATCGGCGGCGTCGTTGAGGGTGCGCGGGTCGACGGGGCACGGGATCAGGTGCGGGGCGGCGACGACGAGGAACGAGACCATCAGGGTGGTGGTGAAGAGCGAGGCGGTCATGCGCGAGCGCGGGTGCATGTGCGGCGGCATGGCGGCTCAGTCTCCGTCGTTTCCCCTCGTCGGTGTCGGCGGTCGGTGGATGCGGTGCGGCGGTCGGTGGATGCGGTGCGCCGGCCGGTGAATGCGGTGCGGCGGTCGGTGAATGCAATGCGCCGGCTGGTGAATGTGGTGTGGCGGTCGATGAATGCGGTGCGGTGGTCGGCGAATGCGGTGTGGTGTTGTGATGCGCGGGCTGGTCGAGGCATCACTGGGTGTTGCGGGCCAGAAATGCGAGCGCCGGCGCAAGAGGGACGCGCCAAGCCAATTGAGGTGCGTCGAGCGGGCGGTGGTGATGGCCGTTTGGTGGGCGGGCGACACACGAGGCGGCGGTGGGTGGTGGACTTTTTGGTGAGCGCGGGTGACAGCGCTAGCGCAGCGAGTGCTGAGTGGGCCCCTGCTGCTAAAACTACTTTGTACCAGGGACGAATAGGAACGCGATCGACGGCGTTGCGCTTCCCGCCCGCCTGCACGTCGTCCGCCCGTGTCTGTCTTCGCAGCCCACCGCCGCCATGAGCACCGGCGGCAGCGACCTCGACAAGGCGATCCAGCAGCTGCGCGCCTGTCGCCCCATCCCCGAGGCGCAGGTGCGCGAGCTGTGCTACAAGGCGCGCGAGCTGCTGATCGAGGAGGGCAACGTCGTCGGCGTCGACGCGCCCGTGACCATCTGCGGCGACATCCACGGCCAGTTCCATGACCTGATGGAGCTGTTCCGCGTCGGCGGCGACGTGCCGGACACAAACTACCTGTTCATGGGTGCGTGGCGCGACTGGGGCTGGAGAGAGCCGACACTGACTGACACAGGCGACTTTGTCGACCGCGGCTTCTACTCGCTCGAGTCCTTCCTCCTCCTGCTGTGCCTCAAGGTGCGCTACCCCGACCGCATCACGCTGATCCGCGGCAACCACGAGTCGCGCCAGATCACGACCGTATACGGCTTCTACGACGAGTGTCTGCGCAAGTACGGCAGCGCCAATGTCTGGCGCTACTGCTGCGACGTCTTCGACTACCTCGCCCTGGCCGCCCTCGTCACGGGCGCGGCCACGTCGCTCGAGCCCACGGACGGGCCCGTCGCCTCCAACAGCAACGCCGACAGCCTGCCGGGCCTCGGCCAGGACATTGAGATCGAGACGCTCAACGCCGCCGGCGAGATCATGTACCGCTACGCTCGCAGCGGCGACGAGCAGGGCTCCGTCTCCGGGGCCAGCGCGCACATGGGCTCCTCGTCGCCGGCGTCGGCGCCGACGCCGCCGACGCCGGCCAACGTCGGCGCCCCGGGCACTGCCGCGTCGGCGTCGGCCAACGGCTCCAGCCGCAACGACACGGGCGCCATCCTGTGCGTGCACGGCGGCCTCTCGCCGCTGATTGACAGCATCGACAAGATCCGCCTGCTGGACCGCAAGCAGGAAGTCCCCCACGAGGGCGCCATGTGCGACCTGCTGTGGTCCGACCCGGACGAGATCGACGGCTGGGGCCTGTCGCCGCGCGGCGCGGGCTTCCTCTTCGGCGCCGACATTGTCAAGTGCTTCAACCACACCAACGACCTCAGCCTGATTGCGCGCGCCCACCAGCTCGTCATGGAGGGCTTCAAGGAGATGTTCGACAGCACCATCGTCACCGTCTGGTCCGCCCCCAACTACTGCTACCGCTGCGGCAACGTCGCCGCCATCCTCGAGCTCGGCGAGGACGGCAGCAACGCTGGCTTCACCCGCCGAACCAACGGCGATCGCGGCGCGGGCGCTGCAGGCTGGGTCCTGGGCAGCAACGACGGGCCCAACAGCGCCAACGGCGACCGCAGACTGAGCGCCGTGCTCGGCGAGCAGCGGAACCGCGACGGGCCTGGGCGGCGCTATCGCGTCTTCGAGGCCGCGCCCCAGGACAGCCGCGGCATGCCCGCCAAGAAACCCGTTGCCGACTATTTCCTGTAGCAGTCGTCCTTTTGATGCTGGAGGCGTTGTCTGTAGAGTGGATACCCAATACATGCTTTCGATTAACGTGGGTGTTTGTTGCTGCTTGACTGCTGTGTCTACCTTTTTTGTTTACACATACCTGACCCTGACTGCATCAACAACCCTGACTGCATCAACAACCATGACTGCATCGACAAGTATTACTGCATCGACAAATATGACTGCATCGACAAATTTTACTGCATTGACAAACATGACTGCATCGACAAATATTACTGCATTAACAAACATGACTGCACCGACAAACATGACTGCACCGACAAACGTGACTGCACCGACAACCATAACTATACCACAAGCACAGCTAGACTAACGGACAGCGGACGAGTTGGACACTTTTGCCAAGCCCCCACTAAACCTCACCCAAAACAACCTACTCTAGCGCTGCAAGGTGTAATGCGGCCTGTAGTACTATTCAGAGACTACTTCTTCCTCTTGCTTACACATTCGCGCGTTGTGCCCAGTCTGATTGCACTGTCTACAGCGCCTTTGGGAGGGCTCGCCTACTTCAGCGCGCACCCGCTTCTTTGCCTTCTTCCCATCGCTACGCGCCCCAAACTCCTTTAGAGCAGTTAATTACTAGCTATCCATTGTAACGACTATGCACGAACACGACACGTGGCATAGCGCTCATAGCAGCTAGAGGCAAAGCTAGCTGGCTAGCACTATTATTGTCTATATATATTATACTACGCAACGAATACTTGCTTAAGTATTCTTGTGCTTACCTTTTGGTATAGGCAGAGAAGTCACGTAGTATTGATTTCGAGGGCAGGGCGCCTACTCTGTTACATCCATGACTATTAGAGTACCTTCTGTCTTAATCTACTTTCTTTTGTGTGATTTATGTTGTTTGGCTGCCTTATTAGCAGCTTAAAGCTCAGCGACCTCCTGTTGCGCCAACACTAGCTTGTGCGCAATGAATGCTGCCCCCTTTGAGACCTTCTTAAAGGCTTCAACTATAGAGGTAGACAAGCTAACGTACTCTATCACCAAGCTAGTCATATCACTGAACTAGTCAAAATCTGCCAAGACTAACACAACTCTGCACTTTATAGTATGTCTTAACAACATTAACGTAGATTATCACCAAGCCAGCCATATCACCAAACTAGCCATTTTCTCTTAGCACAACTAACACAAGTTACTTTAACTACAACTACTTACTATTAAATAGTAACCTAGTATACTATGTGCTTATATTAGATTTAGAAGATGTTTCTATACCCTCCTAGCACGTTTGTGCGTTGTGTCTAGTCTTACTGCAGTTCCTACAGCGCTAAACAGTTAACTAAGCTCCTAGTTAACTACCTCTACCCTAAGTCTTCTTAGATAGCTGAGCTGCTACACACGCCTTAGCAGCTACCTGCAATGCTGCTAGGCCATACTTAAGTGTGCTACTATGCTAAATCTACTTTCTCTTACGTAATTTTCTCTTAGTTATTACTACTAATTACTCTTTAAGCTCTTATATATAGGCCTTAATAAGGATATTTTTATATAGTATCTCTTTAGCCCCTTTTATAAGCTTTAAGAACCTCTCTTATACTATACTTAGTAATTATTAGAAGGAGTTACTTACAAGCTTAGATTAAGACCTAAACTTGTGTGTATTGCTTAACGTAAACCCCCAGCACCTGGGCCAACCCAGCACCCGGGCCAAAAAAGCTTGGCAGTACCAACTCACGTTACAACTCTTCAATTTCATTGCTATTTAATATAGAGCCTGCGTACGCTGTGCTTGTATCTAATTTAGAATATGCCTCTATATCTTTTTTACACGTTCGCGCGTTGTGTCTAGTCCCTCTATAGTTTCTACAGCGCTATAGAGCTAGTTAAGCTTGTTCTTAATTACTACTACTATAAGCCTTCTTTAACCGCTTAGCGGCTACAGAGGCCTCTGCGGCCACCTAAGCTGCTGCCTCACTATACTCTATAGTACCACCTTGCTAGATCTGCTTCCTTTTGCGCGATTTCTGCTTAGTTATTACTACTAATTACTCTTTAAGCTCAGTAATCTAGGCTGCTTAAAGCGCGTTCTGATGCAGCATAAGCTTGCCACCTCTAACAAGCTAAGAGAAGCCTGCTTATGCAGTAATAGGTAACTAAGTAAAAGACTTGTGTACAAGCTTTAACTAAGATCTAAACTTGTAGGTATTACTTAGAGTCTTTAACTACCACAGCATCTCTAGGAGGAGGGGTTCTAGTAGGGTACGCAGGCGCACTTTAAGGTAATCTAACACAACCTACGTGTTAAGAGGGACTAGCCCTGCTGCCTTAAAGGCCTTACAATAGTTCTCTACTATAAACATATTAAAAAACACGTCCTTAAAGGTAGGGAGGAAGCCTTCTTTGTTAATATAGAAGACATGCTTACATGCTAAGTCTTGTACATGCTAAGAGTACTTACGCTTTAACAGTAAGAAGCAGACTATATTAAGCAGCTAGAGGATATGTAATAAGTAAGGTAGCATGTAGAGGGTAAGGATTATGTTTTTAAGGTAGTAGTCCTTAAAATCCTAGTTAAGGTGGCTCTTATGGCTGTCTAAAATAAGCAGCCTGTACGCCCCCACCTAGCTCGCCTTTGTATGCGCGTCGAAGTGCTTCAGCCACTCAAGGCCAAGCGCGTTGTTCGTCCAGCCGCTCTCAGAGACAGAGAGCTTCCAATTGCGTGGTATATCTGCCTCCTTGTACCAGGCAGAGATGTGAACGCGTCCTTTGTAGATAATAAAAGGTAGGGTACAAGATCTAGCAGCGCAGACGCTCTAGATAACTGTTACCTACTTGCAATTACCTAGCTAAACAAGCTAAGGTTAATTACGTCTCTCTGCGCCTGTAACAACCTTTATTAAGCTAATAACACCTATCTAGAAGCTAGTCTTATTAAAGTTGTGCATGTTGTAGTTGTGTACGCTGTATTTAGCTTTTGTGTCCTCTACTAGCTTAAACCACGCGCTAATTGTCTCTAGATCCTCCTGCAGCATCCTCTGCCTATCTTTAGCTTGATTAAAGGCTATCTTGAGCATAGCTAAACGCGTCACGAAGCGCTCAGCCTAGTGCTTGCTAACAGGCTGCCCACCACGTACACCCAACAGTTTGTCAGCCATATCTGCTACCTTGCACAGCTAGGGCGCGAATCCTTGCAAATTAAGGTTAAGAATGTATTGTACAATTATTTGCTCTTTAGTGCGTATAAGCTTATATTGTGTGTTACGTCTATTATTAATATAGAGTCTGCCTCTATACCTAGCACTTAAGGTTATACATAGTATGTTAAATGCCTAAGCAGCGCTTTAGAGGCTTTTAAATTTATATAATTAGAAAGTAGAAAGGGCAAGATTAATTCTACCCTCTTATTTAGATAATTATATATCTTGTTAGTAAGGCATTACGTATTAATATTAATAGTTGTGGTCTTGGCAAGAAATGGCCTAGGTGCTGGGTTGGCCCGGGTGCTGGGGGTTTACGTTAGTGTATTAGATTACTATATTATTTTAGGTAGAGGTACTGCTAGTAGGGTATGTAGCTGTACTTTAAGGTAATCTAACACTACCTATATATTAGTAGGAATAAGCCCTAATACCTTAAAGGCCTTTTAGTAGTTAACCTTTATAAATATATTAAGGAACACGTCCCTAAAGGCTAGTAGGAAGCCTTCCTTATTAATATAGAAGATATATTAGTGTGCTAAGTCTTAAACATGTTAGGAGTACTTACACTTTAATAGTAAGAAATAGACTATGTTAAGTAGCTAGAGGATATATAATAAGTAAGGTAGTATAACGTACCCCACGGGCGAGTCGGACACACGGGCGAGTCGGACACTTTTGCCAAGACCCTACTAAAACACCCTTACTACACCAATGCCTCTCCATGAACGCCAGTTAGACGCGTTAAAAGAAGCTTAGATACAGCTTGCGCTTCAAGCTCTTAAACAAGACGCGACTCTCTCTCTACAGCGCGCTGCAGCTATCTATAGAGCTCCCCTACAGACACTAAGCGACCGACGCGCTAGACAACCTTCACGAGTTAATTCTATGCCCAAATTACAGAGCCTAACTAATACTAAGGAGCAGGTAATTGTTAATTATATACTTAAGCTAGACGCGCGAGGATTCTCCCCTTGGCTAGCAGCTGTGGCTGATATGGCCAATTCTTTGCGCGCTGAGCGCAGTCTAGGCTATGTTGGCCTAAACTAGCCCAGTACGTTTGTTAAGCGCCAACCAGAGCTTAAAGTGAAGTTTAATCGCAAGTATGACTACAAGAGAGCCCTCTGCAAGGATCCTGAGATAATCTAGGGCTAGTTTAGCCTAGTAGCTAATATCAAAGCTAAGTATGGCATCTAGGATAACAACACGTACAACTTTAATAAGACAGGCTTCATGATAGGCTAGATATCTACTAGAGCAGTTATTACAGCTTTAGAGAGACAAGGACAGCTAAAGCAGGTCTAGCCAGGCAATTAGGAGTAGACAATAGTTATTAAGGGCATTAATGCTAAAGGGTAGGCTATTCTACCCTTTATTATCTTCTAGGGCTATAACCACCTCTTAAACTAGTACAAAGAGGATAATCTACCCTATAATTAGGTTATTAGGGTCTCTAAGAATAGCTAGACTACTAACAAACTTAGTCTTAACTAGTTAAAGCACTTTAACGTGCATATAAAGGAGCGTACTGTTAGCAGCTACTGTCTACTAGTTATTAATAGTTATAAGAGCTACAACTTACTAGATTTCTAGGAATACTGCAAGGATAACAAGATTATTACTGTATATATGCCTCTGCACTTATCACATCTCCTGCAGCCACTTAATGTAGGCTGTTTTACCCCTCTAAAGAAGGTGTATAGGTGCTAAGCTAAAGACCTTATATATAACTAGATTAACTATATTATAAAGCTTAAGTTCCTGCTATGCTTTAAAGTAGCCTATAATACTGTATTTACCTTAAGCAAT